CCTTCTGATAATTTAGCTTCTTTATAAAATGATTTAACTTCGTCTACAGTAATTATTTCATCAACTGTTTTATTTAAATTTTTTAAAATTGTTAGTTTCTCATCATTATTAATAAACATTTTTCCAACTAATACAGCCACAGCAAAACAACAATTTTAACTTGAGTTTGCAATTTGTCACACTTAATTTGCAATATACCATTTCTAACTTCTCTTTGATGTTTCAATACTGGACGATTTGTTTTACCACCCCCCCTACTATCATCATCAGGATTTAAATTATAAATAAGTTTTTTGTTTTGTTTTTCCGAATTGGTCTTTTTTTCCTAAATGAGATTTTCTCATTTTATATTGATGTGGGACAATCATAAGACATACATTAGTTTTCCAGTCATTATTTAAAAATTCTGAAATATTACTTTGTATATTATGTTCAAAAGTATCTAATAATCTCTGTATAGTAAATTCCTTTAAGGGTAATAAGGATGTTGAAATAGGTTCTAACGGAGCTTTTTCGAAAAAAAATCTAATTAAATCATTCTCAGAATTTACGGTTAATTTTGCTATATTGAGCAAATATTGTAATATTTTTGAAAATTGTTTCAAAAAATCTGGTAAACTGTTGAAATTGTTTTTTTTTATAAAAATTTGATATACGTGATCCTTAACTTCACCATTTAATGTAAAAATGGTATTTTTATATTGTAAATCAATTAATTTTTTATTTTTTTTGATGTATTCAATTTTTTCACCAATTTTTGAATGAAATATACTAACTATTTTCTTTATTTCATCATTCGAAATAATTTTCATTTTTTTTCTTCTTTCTTCTTCAATTTCTTCATTTTTCCGTTTTGACATGGTTTGGGTTTTTCTTTTTCTTTATTATTTTCTTTTTCCTTTATTTTTTCTTCACCGTCTACATTATCATGATAATCAATTTCATTTTCGGAACCTTTTATACACATGCAGTTTAGATTTAATTTTATAAGCGGTGTATCGTTGGATGGTTTACACATAGAATTACCCATTGCTAAAATTAATTAATAAAATGGCTGGAGAAACACTATGTTATATAGAAGTTCATTTATTCTTAAATGAAAATGAAAAAGAAAAAATAAAAAATAATAAAAGAGCTAGTACTAAATGTACCTATCAAATACTGGATAATGATAAATGTATTTTATTCTCACCTTTCTTATTTCAACAATCAATTCAAGATTGGAAATCAGATGATAATGATGATAATTCTGTAAGGTATTATGATGTCAATTCATTAAAAAAGAATTTTCTTTTTTTAAAAAAAGAAATATATAATCTCGAGTCAAATCATTCTGATATATGTTTTAAAATTGAGAAATTAATAGAATATATTGAAACAAATATTGAACTTTATGCTGGAATAAGATTAATTTACTAAAAATGAAACAAAGTATACGAAAAGTACAACAATGTGATGGAATTACCTTAAAAATGTAAGATGTCGAAAAAACTTCAATGACCAATTTATGTTGGATTCACTTGGGAAAAAATTTAATTTAAGAATTAAAACTTCAAACATTTCAAACGGAGGTAAAGGATTATTTGCATATAAAAACAATTCCAAAAACAAAAAATTGCAAATTATACTGGAAGACATCTTACCTCAAGTCAAGTAATTAGAAAATATGGTGATGGTTTAGCAGAATATGCAATTTGCGATAAAGGAAAATGTGTTGATGCTAATGAAACAACTGATGGCGCACCGAGATATGCAAATGATGCTCGAGGGTCACGCTTTAAAAACAACTCGTTTTACTTGGAAAAAAATTTAATTATTTCTTAAAATCATCAAAAAACATTAAACCACACCAAGAAATATTTACTAATTATGGTAGAGAATATTGGAAAAAAAGTAAAAAGTAAAATATTTTGTAAATAAATAATATTTTTTATTGAATAAAATATATTTTTACATAAATGTTTTTTTAATTAATTAATTAAGTACACAAATTGATTTCAACTAAAATATCGACCCCAATATTGGTGCTAACAATGGTAATATTCCTCCTTTTTGACCTCTTCTTCTTTTACCCCTTACATACATCTGACCTCTATATGCACCTTTACCCAATTGATTATTTGCAATTTCAAATGCTTTATCCATTAAGGGTGAATTTACAAATTTTTGCTTTAGAACCCAGTATTCCTGATTTTGCTATAGCTCTGGCAGCTTTTGCAGATTTTAGCGCTAAATGTTTTTTACTTAATGCTTTTTTAAATCCAGATTTAAGTGTATTGTGAATTTTAGAAAATTTAATAAATCCTCCTTTTGTCGTCTCCTCCTCTTTGACGTCTTCCCATTTTTTAGTAATTTTAAAAATATTATTTCAGAAATTTAAAATGTGATTTTGTAAAAAAATCTATATATATGTTATAACAATTGTACTACTTCTGCATAAATAAACAGATATTGCTTCCCATGCATATATTTATTGAATTTGCTTACTATTTATTTTACTTATTTATTCTTTTTAAAAATAAAAATAAAAAATGTATAAAAGAAAACGAAAAAGAATTAAAAAAAGAAAATATAGAAAAAAAGCACAAAGAGGAGGAATTATTGGTGGACTAGCAGGATTGGCATTAAAGAGTATTGTTCCAGCTATAGCCGGTGGAGTTGTTAAAAAAATATTTAAATAATAAATTAATAAGGAATAATTTCTTTCTGATGAAACAAAAAATGTGTAAAAGGAAAAGAAAAAGGAAAAATTATTGTATAAGAGGATCAATAAAAAAATAAAACAAAGGGAAGTGGATATTTAAAGACAATGATGAATGAAAATAGAAAAATAGAAAATTTGTATTTAATTAAATATTTACTTTAAATTTGAAAAAATAATTCATATCTATCAATTCCATTTTTTTAAATAAATAAAATATCATCACAATTTGACGTATGAAAATTAGGATCTCTATCAAATATTAACCCCAATTGTTCAAATGTTAAATGACTACGTGTTGTTAATGTAAAATTAGGTTTTTCTAATTGTTTACATTTTATAACAAGTAAAGTTATAAAATCATGAAACAATATATTACAATATTTACAAGATAATATATGTCGTGCATAATCCGTATAAATTTCGTTTTCTATTAAAAAATTATAAATTACATCTTTATTTACATTTTTCAATTTAATTTTTTCAATTGTTTCAAAAAATTTTTTACAAGATATATAAATTTTTACATCACTAACATGTACAAAACAATATTATATAAAGTATTACACTCTAAACCTAAATGAAAACTATCTTTTTTGACAATCTGAGAATCATACAAATAAATGTTGAAATAATCATATAAAATTCTATCTGTTTGTTTATCTACATTAAAATAATGATATCTGCAACAAAAATTTTCATTAAATAATAATATTTTTTTATGTTGCATATAAACTTTGGGTAGCCAATAAGTCGAAATTAAATAAAGATGTTCGGTATTTTCATTCTCCCAACAACGTATTATCCCTACTGCACCATATAGAAATTCAATAAAATGTACATTTTTGTAGATGGTTTTAAATTTTTCATCATTTGAAAATGATTTAAAATAAAGCGAATATTTTAAATCTTCTACAGTTGGTTTAATTTTAAGCACTTTCATTAGTGACGGGGTTCTTTTCAATTTTAATAAACAACTGCATACAAAATACAACGGATATAACAATAGATGACCAGGATATTCGTTTAATAAAATGGTGAATACTTGGATAGTCAAAAAATTCATATCGTTAAACTATAAAGAAAAAAACCATTTAAAAATGAAACAATTAATTTTTAATAGCATATTCGTTTATATACATTGTATAGTTAGAGTTAATATCAATTCTGGGTTTATATTGATTATAATAAAAATTACAAGTATGTCCACCAAAATGTCCTACACGGCAAAATATATATCCATTATGATCTATAACAGCACATGACTTTTGATATAATGTTTTTCCATTATTCAATCTCCAAAAAATTACAAATAAAAAAGGTAACATTAATTTAGTTTAACACACTTCATAGCTTTTTTGTCAGATATAATTTTTCTTTTCTGACCTTTCTTTTTATTAAATTCAATTTTATCATTGTCATATTCTTCTTCTTCAGTATCATTATTTCCGTCTTTTTTTAAATCCACATAAATTTTATTCAACAATCCATTTGGGTTTAATAAAGTACAATCCATATTTCCTTTTTTCAATATTTTTAATAGAAAATTGTCTTTAATTTGAAAATGATCCTTTCTTTGTATCTTTCCACGAATAAAATGAAAGAAATCAGCTTCAATATAGTCCAGTATTAATTTTGCTAAGGTTAACTTGAACCTTACACAATAATAACACTTTTGACAGTTCTGAAATTTGCTTTCGCAGAGTTCTTTAAATAAGTTCATAACTCTTTTTTTCGAAATAACCCATAATTTTTCCTAGCAAAAATTAACATAAAAATCTCTTGTTCTTTTTAAAAGCCTGATTCTTTGGATTATGCAAATAAAAATATTTAAAACTTTATCAAGATCTTTAATATCATAAAAGTTCTTTTCATATCGTCTAACTTTTATAATAAAATGTTTTTCATCCATATTAAAAATTCTGGGTAATTGATATACGTCTTTACAATAACATTTTATAATAAAACCCAGTATGATATTTCATCAGTATGACGCAAATACTCTTTCAAATGATCCATTAACTGTTTTCTATACCGTGTGATCATCTATAATTTTTTCCATAAATAATATCATACTTCGTAAGTAAAAGCAAATAATATTAAATTCTTACCTTTATTTCAAGCAACGTGTAGTCCTTCGAATAAACCGACTTTTAGCGTAACTAGAAAAGTACTTATGAAACTGTGATATTGAATTAATAAACAGACTTTAGCATAGGTAGAGAAAAGAAATTAATCCGTGAGTATAAGCAAATACTATAAAATTCTTAACTTTATTTCAAACAACTATAATCCTTCGTTATAGTATTTAGAAGAAACAAGTATATTTCAAATACAATACAAAATAATTACATTGATAAAAGTCCGAAGTCCAATTTTAAATGATAATATGGAAAGTTCAAAACCCAATTTACTGATAATACAAATTGTCTCGCTTCAATACATCATCCACAATAAAGAATGGGAAATAGCATTCAAACTTTTCACCATATTCATCGTCCCAAAACCAATTAAGCCAATCTTTCATTTGTAAACAAAGACATGGATAAAATCTTGACTTAGTTGATATATTACACATTCTAAATTTCACCAATATATACTCACAGTATATTTTCACTTTAATATTTCACTTTCCAATAAACAGATTTTTTAACGTAACTAGAAAAAAAAATTGCGTTATTAAAACTAGCTCATAAATAAACGCATTTGGAAGACTCTCAAGTAAAACAGACTTTAACATAACTAGAGAAACGTTAATGCAAGTGTGATATTAAAAATTTAGGTCATAAATAAAAGGAAATAACATTAAATTCTTACCAGTACAAGTTTCTCCTCAACAAATAGCGAGAGAATAACGATTTCCAACAAAGAATCCAACCGATTTCCAACAAGATAACTTCTACAGAACTTGAGAAACTTCGATTCAGTTGTGATATTTACGTGTTCTTAAATACTCTCGTTACAACAAAATACCCTTTGTTTCCGTTTCACCTTGAACGTTCGTATCTACATCTCAATACACTATGTCTTTGTTTGCTAGTTGCCCTTGAACATTCGAGAACACAAACAAACCCATTTACTGTCATCATATCAATTAAATATCAATTAAACATCTGTGACTGGTACAATCTGACACAGACTTCAACAGAATCGAAAATGAACGTTTTGTATTAAAATAAAATACAAAAATTGTTTTCACCTCTTTAATATATTTAATAATCAAAGCGATTTGTGTTGTGACAAAAATCGCAAGTTTTTGTCCATAGAATCACACTTAAATTCAAAACAGAATACCATAAACTCTAGAGAATACTAATAATATCTTAAACAAAATCCGTTTGGTGTCATCACGTCTATTAAGCAATTATCTTCTATACCTGTGACTGGTACAATCTGACACTGACTTCAACAAAATCGAAAATATGCATTTTGCGTTAAACAAAGACGCAAAAAAATTATTTTCAGCGCTTTAATGTATTTAATAAACAAAGCGAATTGTCTTATAACAAAAATAGTATGTTTAATACATAGAATCACACCTAAATTCAAAACAGAACACAAATAATATCTCAAACAAAGTCCATTGGTTGTCATCACATTTATTAAAAAATTATCTTCCAATGCTATCATCACATTTATTAAACTATCATCTTCAACAAAATCGAAATATAAGATTTGTATTAAAATTTAGTAAAATTCCAACATTTTCTGTACAATTTTTTTGTAATTTTTTGATTGTTTTGATTTCATCTTTACACACCCAAAAATATCGATGTACTTTAACTTGATCGTAATTTTGTTCTTTTAATTCGGAGTGCATCATCTGTAATATGTCTTGTATAAATCCCTTGAGGGTGTCGATGCGAAGCTCACATTTATATATCTCATCATCTATTACATTGTACCAATCTCCGTCTGGTGTCAATCCCATTATGATACACGATTTCCAAAACACACTTTAACCTTCAACTACCAACAATCGATACAATTTGTGTTGTGACAAAAAAACGCAATTTTTATTATATAAAGAAACAATTTTTTTCCAAATAAATTCAAAACAGAATTATGTAAATTTTAGACAACGCCAATAATAACTGAAACAAAAGCCATTTGCTGTCATCACATCTATTAAGCAATTATCTTATGGGTGATGATGGAATCTGATACTGCTAGCTTCAACAAAATCAAAAATATAAAGTTTTATTAAAAAATCTAAATGCAAATTTTTTTCACCACATTAATATATTGAATACTCGAGTCGTTTTATGTTATGACAAAAAATCGCAAGTTTTAACATATGTGAAACAAGTAAACTCAACAACAGTATGTTTGTGAGGTCAAAAGGTTATATTTGCGCAAAATTTGATCTATAAAATTTAAGCATTTATCTCGTTTACTTCACTTGCAAGCATACACTTATCGCGAAGACAGTGAGAAAAAACGGTGAAAGCAAACAAAGAAAAGATGGGAAAATGCCAAAAAGAAAGAGTATTACGATACAAAAGACGGGAAGAAAAAAATAAACAACAGGATAGAAAATATATGAAAATATACAGCCATATTTGGAAAGAAGTTTGCGATGAGATGATCGAGTTTATTGAAAAAGAATCAATTAAATTTGAAGAAGAAGTCAAATTTAGACAAAGACAATTAGAACACGATTTAAAATTAAATGAACTAAATAAAAAACAAAAAGAAGAAGAAGAAAGAAGAAAAGGAAAAGTGATAAGAAAATCTAAAGATTATTTAGAATTTATTTTTTTAGATGTTGACATATCTGAAAATGAAAAACAACTGCATGTTAATCGTTTAAACAAAATTTTAATGAGTTATATTAAATTTTATATGAACTATATTTCACTTTGAAGTTCTTCATCCAACTTAACTTGTGCTAATATTAACTTTACTTGAGTATTTTCTTTTATTTTTCATAATCAGTTAACGAATTGTTTAAACAATCGCATTCATCTTGTAAATCTTGAACATCTTTTAAATATTCAAAATGGGCTGTTTCATTTTGCTCTTTCTTTTTTTCAATTCATCTTTTAAAGCTTGAATTTCTTTTGAAAATTCGCTAATTTTTGCTTCATTTTGCGTTAGATTCTCTTTCGTTTCTTCTAATTCACTCTGCAAGTCAAGTATTTGTTTTCTAAATTCGGAAAGTTTTTTATAATTTTCGCTAAGTTCGATGTTTACATCATCATCATCATCAGCTATATAATAAAATTTTCTTTTGAGCCAATGCGTTGTGTTTGGACTTTCATCTTCAGATGTATTTGCGTTTGATCCGTGTGATTCCATTTTATAAAACAAACTTAACAAATATATGACACGTTAGGTCTTCAATGCATACAATTTCAAACAACAGATCTTTTATATACACGCAATAAATGATTTTTTTGCAGAAAAACAAATTTCTTACAAATGCAAATATGAGGCGTTCAAGGTTATCATACATATAATGACCATATATAGTAATAAAAACATGTAGTAATTCTTCATTGACGTAAAAAAAATGCAAAGCATCTCAATTAGTAACTTCTAGACTCTCAGTAATGTCAATCAACATGTAAAGTCAAGGTTATATTCTAAATTTAAACAAAAAATGGTGTCAGATTGTACCAAGTACAACCAAGGCTATGTAGCAAGTTCATCCAAGGGTAATCATACCATAAATAGACTAAATGAAAGGAGATACATTTTTTTTATATCAAATTCCAGTAGTATATAAGAGCTTGCTCGTTAAAAATTTCTTTATTATAAAGAAAAATGGAATCAAACGTGTCATATGAAGATTTTTTACTTTATTTGAAAGATAAAAGAAACAAAAATCGTTTCGATTTGTTTATAAAAAGAAATAAAAAAAAAATTAAAAGCAAAAGAAAATCAATTTCAAGAAGAAAATCAATTTCAAGAGAATAATGAATATCTCTCTCTACAAACACCCGTACCGAATTGGATAAATACTGAGAAAAATAATGAGACAAATTCTGAGACAAGTTGCATCGAAAATCAAAATCGTATATCATCATCACCAGATTCTCCACAACCCATGGATGAAGATACAGCAGAAAAGAGTGATGGTAAAAGTCCTTTGAATACTTATAACGATAATATTCAAAAATCATCTCCTTTACCCATAATTAATAATGTATATTCAACAAAAGATTCTCCTACTAAAAAAAATACAACTCTTATGAATATCATGTCTCCAATCACAAGTACAAGTATGATGTCACCAAACACGGAGTCTTTCTTAAATTACAATGTTCCCACACCGCGCACTTTTTTAAGAGAACTTGGAGACATTGAATTTAATCAAGATCAAGGATTTACAACTCCTCCCAATAATAATACTGTGATTCAAAATCAAGGAAATACATCTCCTCCTCCTGAACAAATGAATCAAGATCAAGTATTTGCTCATCCCAATCTAGTATTTACAAGTCCTCCTCATAATCTTAATGAATGGGTAGGAAAAAAGACAATTAATGGATGCTACTGAAAGTATAAAAAAGAGAGGACGTCCGACCAAAAAAAACTTGAAGAATACAACAACGAAATCGGAAAAATCCTGAATACTCTTGTAATATGTTATCTTTCAACAATGGACAAAATTATGTTAATAGACAATTTTATTCACTTATAAAAGGAAATATAATATGTAAAATGAGGAAGAAGCCAATTTTTAATTGATCTGTTTGAGAGAAGAAAAAAATTACTTGATCAATTAAAAGAACTCAACCAAGAAATTAATTTAAACAACACAATGGAGTATTTTTTTAGAAAAATGTCTTAAAATTCTTTTATATACATCAAATTGTAAATACTTCATCTAATACTTTATATAATACTTCATATAATAAAAAATTCATGTTTTTTGTATTTTATTGAGGTTAGTATCAGGTTGTACCAGACACGGTTCTTAAAGATGCTCGCTTAATTGATGGAATGGTTGTTGGTGTTAATAAATCAGTTCTACATATCGGACAGTTAGAAAATCCTTGTAATAATAATTGTGTCAAACAATCAAAATGTATCTTGTGACCACATTTTAACATTCCGATTCCAGTTAATGTATCTTCCAAACATATCATACATTGAACATGTTCGTTTTTGCATATATGATATTGATTTTTTTCTTTTTCCTTTTCGAAACACGATCCACAAGCATCACAATGAAATGATCTATGTAATTTAACTCTACAAACACCACATTTTACACAATGATAAGGATCTTTCGAATAATCATCGTAAACCTTACATTTGTCACAAAAATAATCAGCCAACTTTTTCTTACACTTGAAACAATATTGATGAATTCCTTGCTCAAACCCACAATAATTACACATTATCCAGGAAATATCTTTTGATTGACTTTTTATTGCAAAATGATCTTTATTATGACAATGATGACATGGATAAAATCTTTCACAACATTTAAAATAAAAAGAACAATTTTTTTTAGAGTGTATACAATTTGTAAACATACATTGATACTTCTGTATCCGAGACATTTTTTTCATCAATCTGTTTTTACATGGAGGGGTAAATTATATATATACACACATCTTCACCTATTCAGCTACATAGGAAAATATTTTTTCAACATTACTGTTCATAAGTACTTTCATTTGTTCAA